GCCATCTCCTTTCCTGTGCCACGATGTCTGCCCTAGCCCGGGCGGGTGCCCACCTCCTGCGGTCCCGGGCAAGCTCCCAGGAGCCGCCAGCCTGGACCCGGGAAGAGGCAGAGGGTTGGGGGGCATCGGGTGGGTGGCTCAATCCGTGCCAGGTGCAGGGTCTGCTGGCTGGGTCCTGGCAGGCTTGCACCTGACACGGGCACCGTAGCCAGCCCGTGCCCCTTTAAGGGCTCCGGGGCCGGGAGGGGGGCAGACGAGTTTCCCTGGTGGTGCCCAAAGTGGCCACCAGGGCAAGCTGGGGAGGGCTAGCCTCCCACTAGTTCAAATTAAGTGGCTACACAGCCTTTAATTCGAACTAGTTAATTCGAACTAGGCGTTAGTCCTCGTGGAATGAGGTTTACCTAGTTCGACTTAAGCGCTCCGCTAGTTCGAATTAAGTTCGAACTAGCAGTCTGCATGTGTAGCGCCTATCAAAGTTAATTCGAACTAACGTCTGATAGTTCGAATTAACTTTGTAGTGTAGACATACCCTGAATGTGGTATTTGGGTTTCTTTGGAAAATAAGCATTCAGCAAAAGAATGGGTCTTTCCAGTGGCAAGTACAATGCCGGAGTTTCTACTCTACGGAGTTAGTACTATTGTGCATTATGGAAGAAGGTAATGTGTGTAATACAGTTAGAGATTCCTGCACACACACCAATATGAAAGAGCACAAAAGAGCTATGCTTTTCTTGAAGCATATTTGCCCTTTTATAGTTAAAAACGTTTAACCAAGTGATCGCCTCTCTATTTCACTTTATCTCCATTATAGTCTACTTATTCAAAATAAGACAATAATCACAATGGTTTATTCTTTTCGTTCTTTTTATAACAATCTTTAAATTCTATATCAAGATGCAAATCAACAGGGGCAAAGAACAGAGGCAGGTTCTCAGAATCAATGCCTATTTATGCTATGGTCCCCCCGGTTCTATGCTAATAACTTATTTAGTACCACCCCGGATATGTTTATATGGGCTGTATTTCCAGCTCACAAAAGGAAAGGTGAACACAGTTTCTTACTGCTCTTAAGTATGAAAGAGAGCAAAGCTTTTAAGAAAACATGAAATGCAGGCTTTCGTTCATGTTCCCGTAATGTTCTAATTTAATGTCAAATGTTCAATTGGGGGATGAAGACCACATTTGCCGGACAATTATCCTTTTTTAAACCATGGTTTGTTTATTCTTCAATCACCACGTGTTGTATTTAGGTCTTAAAAACAACCCTGTCCCCCAGGAGCAGTGGGTAAGATAGGCAACAGAAGGCGTTGCCTTTCCAAAACTGCCGATGTTCTCTGCTGGCTCCCCAGAGGACGGGGACTCTGACACGGCAGCCTGGCTCTCTGGCCACCTAAGCCGGTTCCTCGGCTGCCCCAAAAGGTTGGGGCCACAGTGCAGCAGTCTGGCTCTCCGACCGGCCAGGAAGGATACGGCTGCTGCGCGGCTGCCTGAGGTCCTCTGGCCATCTGGGGCATGCCACCTGCTGGGCTTGGGAGCAGAAACCTGCGGTGGGGCCGGGCTTAACTCCATGGAGGGGGCGGGACTGGAGAAGGGGCGGGGTCTCAGGCAGAAGGGGTGGGACCTTGGGTTTGCCTTCCCCAGCTGGGCCTTTCCCACCGTTCGTGTTCTCACCTGTGGTCCAAGAATAAAAACTTCCACTCCAAACTGTGTCTGGAGGTGAATTCTTCACATGGCTCCTCCACGTTGCACAGCTCCTGCAGAACAGCGAGGGGGGAGGGCACATTTTAATGGCGTTTGTGACAAAACAGCTTTGCCACACGTACCAGGGCGCTTTGGCCCATAAACTGATGTCTTTTCCTGCTGGTCTGGGGGTGTCTAGGTCAGTCTGGCTACGTCTCTGCAGGAGGGAGGGCGTTTTCCACATCCCTGAGTGACATAGCCAGGTAGCTGACTTTGCAGCCTACGCCAGCCATTAGTCGAGCGTTTAAGGATGGCAGAGCGTCCCGGTCTAGCAGAATGTAAGCTCCTTGGGGCGAGCACCGTCGGTTTGACAGCGCCTTGCACAATGGGGCCCGGATTCACCCGTAGGACTCCTCGGTGCTATTTTAATACAAATAAAGAATAAGTCGCAATAAGCCAATGGTGCGAATTTGTTCTTTGCTAGCTCATGCGCTGGCAATTAATGGGCCACAGCTGAATTCTAGTATCATTATTATGCACCTCGTGCCCTTCTGTGGATTAACACTGGCTTAAAAAAGCCTGGCTCCCATGGTCAGAAATGAGCAGCCAGCTGTCTGACACAGTCAGTGAGTTTGGCAGGTTTCTTTCTGAGATTCAGCTTTTCCAGGGGTTCATTGGAATTCCCTGAACATATGGCTCAAAGGGCCCCTCTCATGCAGTCAGTGGCTCTTCTCACGTGCAGCTCTGCGCTTGTTGGACAATGCAATACGGCTCAGAGAGCCTGTTCTGGTCTCCACTACGCTTAAGTGATCTTAGAGCCTCCCATCCCAAAAGGCAGCAGCACCGTGACTCATCCACAGATCTCAGCTCTCCACAGTTCACTGCCCAGCTCTCAAAGTGCAAGATTTACGGCCCTTTTGCAAGCTGTTGCCTTTAGGAAAGACCAGACTTAAATAGCCATTATTCATTTGGGTCAAAAGTGTTATTTAAAAAAAAAAAAAAAAAAAGCCGAGGATAGATCCCTGGTGTAGGATGGGAAACCTGGCCCGTGAACTCTCACCTTTAAAAACTGCGGCGTCACGAGACGAACGGTTGCTACGAGGCAAACCTGCTCTTCAGTGGCTGACCTGAATGCTCTGGCGATAGCTGATTCAAAGCCATTGCAGGAGGGTGTAGGCACTAGACAAGCAGAACAAATCACAGGCCCCATCAGCGTTTCCAGAAGAAAATGCAAAGGCTCAGACCGTACTTGACAAAACAGGACAAATTTACCCCCTTCTACCGCCGCAGCTCAGAGCCTAACAGAGACAAGCCCCCTAAAACCTGTTCAAATGATGAGCATTGAAAACATATTGGATGGATTCTTTGTGCATCTCTAGATTCACTCGGTTCAATCATGTGAAAGGACACACAGGTGCAGCCACTAATCCTCGGCTTTGGAAGGCAAGAAGTCATCGAAACAAAGACAGTGAAATTCAGCTGCTGGTGTTTCGTTTGTTACTTTCATTACATTTTGTTTATGCTTTTCCAACTGCCTACCTCAGGTGGAAAATCTCTTTAGTGATTCCACTGACCATCTACTAGGGAAAACGAGCTTTCTTCATTGTAGATCTCAGCTAGAATTACCACGACAGACCAAAACAGCAGCAAACATGAATCTTTGTTTATCTGCAAAACAACGAGTAGTCCTGTGGCACCTTAGAGACTAGCAAAAGTATATAGGATCATATATATTTTAAAGTATATATCTATATCTGTATAGGGTATTTAAAAATATACATAGGTTCCTGTATATTTTTGTTAGTCTCTAAGGCCTTGTCTACACTAGGAAATTATTTCAAAATAACTAAATTTGAACTAACTCCTGAAATAACTATTTCGAAATGAGCGTTATTCCCCAGGGAAAGCAGGCATACAGATTTCAAAATAACCAGCCCGTTATTTCAAAACAGGCTTAGTAGTGTGGACGCTTCGCTTATTATTTCGAAATAAGGGAGGTTATTTTGAAATAACTCCCTACTGCAGACCAGGGCTAAGGTGTCCCAGGACTACTTGTTGTTTTTAAAGTTACAGACTAACACGGCAACTCCTCTGAGACTTTGTACCTGCAAACAGTTCACTAGTGGATTAGCAAAATTCTCTTCTCCTAGCTGCACTGCATGTGTGATATTGACCCTGAGGATCATATGCTGCATTTGTTCCATGCAGAAGAGCCACATGGACGTCTGTGGAAGTTAACTGACAGCAGTGGATGCAGATTAAGCAATGGAAATGTGCGGTGTGGCTTTGTGAGAAGAATTTTTCCCCAACGCCAGTAGTTAGGAATACGAAATGTGGCTAAGCCCTAGGAAGCGTGGTAAACCAAACAGCACTTCCTTTCCCAAGTTGCCTATCATGGGAAAGATGATGACCAAAATCTTTCATATACATAATGCACCCAGCACCAGCACAAACACGCGCACAAAACCATTTGTTTAAATGCAGCATAGACACCTCGTATCTCTAAGGGTATGTCTACACTACCCCGCTAGTTCGAACTAGCGGGGTAGTGTAGACATACCCTGGGTTACTCCTCGTGAAACGAGGTGTACCGGTAGTTCGGAATAGGCACCCTAGTCCGAACTACCTAGTTCGAGCCCCGTGTAGCCGCGCTACATGGGGTTCGAAGCAGCGGGGATTTAAAAATGGCGGCTCCCCGCTTATGGTAATGAAGCCCGGGAAATTCAAATCACGGGCTTCATTAGCAAGTGCGGTATGCATACATTACCCTCCTAGTTCGAACTAGGAGGGTAGTGTAGACATACCCTAAGTGACTGACAGGAGAGGTTGTTTCAAAGTTGTTGATGGAGAAGGGTTGATAACAGGGGTCCTTCTGGAATCTGGCAGCAAACATTGAACCCGCTATGACAGGCTTTCCAAAAGTATGTCTGCTGTCCAAATTACCAGGTGAAAACAGAAGGGAAGTGGGAGAAAGAATGAATGACTGATGCCGTGTCTGAAGCCTGAACACTGTTCCGAGTGTCCAGTACTACAGCTTGTACTGGTTGTTAGCATTAGAGCCAGGCAGACGGGTTGAGCATATTCATGTGGGCATTTTCAACATTAAATCCAGACAACCAGCTTGCTTGCTTCCTTCCTTTCTATTTTATTTCTAGAAAATGGCAATTTTTGCCTCCACAATCCTGGAAGATTCAGGATTTTGCAGACTTCCTATACAAATTGATGGTCAACTACAGTTGCCAGGTATCTGGTTTTGAACCGGACAATCTGTTATTGGAGGGTTCTGTCCAGGAAAAATATTAAGAAAATACCAGACATATAAATGTCCGGTATTTTCTAATTAGGTAAGTGTTATTATTATTAGGAGTATCAATATCTAGTTGCGAACTGCCTGGCTGGTAGAAATGCTCACGCTGCGTGAGTGTGTCTACCAGTCAGGCAATACATTAGGTAAGTGTTATTATTATTAGGAGTATCAATATCTAGTTGCGAACTGCCTGGCTGGTAGAAATGCTCACGCTGCGTGAGTGTGTCTACCAGTCAG